AGCCAAGTAGGATGAATTTACTGAAACATGAACATTCAGCATCCATCCGCATTCTTCTATTGATGACTAGGCTGAGATGTTAAGACAGAATGATTACTAATAGGCTCTAATTAGCAAGAAAAGTACAGTCTTCTTTAAAAGAGAATAATGTTACTCCGGTCTCTTATACCCGTATGTAATTTTTGGTTATCTCGTCAAAGTTTTACATAATGTAAGAAAACCAAAGAAACTGTATTAAAATAAGAAATCAAGACTAACAGCTCTTCCCGATTGCCCATTTACTTCTACAAGTCCATTTCTTTCAGGTTTAAGTCAAATGCATTTTGCAAAAATTTCAGCAAGCTGCAGTTAAAGTGCGTAATGTTTTCTACAGCCATGAAATGTTATACAATTCTCCGGGCAAAATCTTAATAAGCGCTCTGGTTTTGTCGAGTAATTTTATGATTTCCTCTTAATATGACTTACAGAGATTTTGGGGGAGAACCGTGCATATTTGTACTTTCTCCCCAAAAACATCAGTGTGAAACTTGAAAAGCAGGCAAATATAAATACGTTTGAAAATTACACTCATAATATTAATCAAAATTCATAAATTAAATAGAAACTAAAACGTGCAAAACAAAACTGTTCACACGAATTTAGTTTTCGGTGCAAAATAACGAGGCATTGTGAATATGGAAACGTTTAGCAATTATTAACAAATGTAACATATGTAGCACTGAATGTTTCGAGTATTAAACAATATACAGTTTTGTAAAAATGCTCTAACTTCTTTAACTGAAAGAAATTTGCATAAGTACACTTCCAATTCGAGAGCTACTGTCAGTTTTCTTGTGGATAATTGTGTAACTAATTTCTATTTGCGACTACATTTTCACTATTAAATTTGAAATAATTATAAAATTTAAATTAGAATGTAAATTGGTAGATACAGTCAACTTACATTTAATACATTTAATACAGTTGTTGTCCTAACTAAAAAAATTTCTTCCTTGAAGTCGAATAGTTTTGAGTTGAACCTAAAATAAAAATAATAATTGGTTTCATGTCTAGTTAATTTATTAAGATCATACTTTTGTCACTACTTTAAAAGTGAGTTCTAGATTTTACTTGTGGAGAATGCAGAAAATACCGTTGAAGATGTGACACAATAAAATCGCCTCTTATGAGGTACTTTTTAATAGTATAGTCTATTGTAAAAATAACTAAGGTATAAATCTGTTCGGTATCAGATGTCGGCATTTGATTTAGAATTCTGAAATTATTGATGAGTTATTTGACGTAGTTTACAAATATTAGTAGACAAGTTACTTTTAATTCTCAGATTACTCAATGAATATTCTTAGATGAGTCCGACTGTCTAATACGTAAAACGTTAAAGAATGTGCTTCTGTCCAGAGCATGCGTATAAACGGCTAAATATAATTTACGAAATACATTTCTTAAATTTAAAACACCACAGTCCACTAAAATATGTGCTCCTTGGAATGAAAAAGTTAAAGAAACAAGCGAGTTTATGATCACGATCACGTCCTAAAATGATGAACATTATGAATGCAATGCTTGAAAATATACTTTAATTTCTGAATGACAATGAATTTTCCACTTACTCTATTCTTCCAAAACGCACGCGGTGCATTGAAGGGGGCTGTGAACCATCTATATATTCGTGATGTATTTTCTTCTGTATGGCACACGGGAAAGCATATTCCGATTATCAAAATCCAATTTGTCTGAACAGCGGCTCGTAACAAATCATGCCATTGCTCTGTGTCCAGTCAAGCCGCGCATTCTGTTTCGTGATAGCGAATCGAAACCAGCCCGCGGAAAGTGTTCTTTTTTTTCCACCCACTCGTCCACTCCATCTGCGCATAATACCGGATTTACTAGGGAGCTACAACTGTCTGAAATGGGACTCACGTGCACCACCTCTTATTTTATTTTTTTAGTACTTAAGGTGAATGCTGTGTGCACGTCTTCATAACTTTGTCGCATTAGAAACTTTACCAATTAGTGCGTACATTTTTGTACTATTTCAATATTCGAGTAGATCTGAACTCTTTTACTAGATATTGCATTAAAATACCAGTTATACTATAACTTCAGCAAGACAACTCATTTAAAATCTCGTTTAAATAACTGAAATATCATTTTCATTTTGTTCACTAATTAATTCGTTATTTTAGGTACGAACATGCAGAAATTTTGGAAAAAATAAAACATCTATATTATAGTATTGAGTTTAATTAATTATATTAGTAATCAATAGCAACTTTTCTGCTCCCTCCAAGTTTTGTAATCTCAAGCAGCATACGAAATTCTGTCTGTTTGCGAAAATCTCCTTATTCTCTTTAATTTAATTTTTTAACTGCTGTCAAAACCGAATTCTGTTTCACCTTTAGTACAGCCAAATTATAACTTTTTCCTAACGCACATCATACGGTCGAATGAGCAGCGAAAACCAGCTTATTCTATTAAAGCATCTTTAATTTTATGACGTAAGTTAAAATGCATTTAATTTCTATTTAGAACTAACTGATTAAGATAAATATCAGTGTTCACAATTATAAATCAGATTTTAGGAGCTTTTATCATTAAGTTCATATTTTACCCAGGGATCCAGTGAAATTCTCGATTAAATAGATAAATTATTAAAACATTTTCTGACCGTAAGCATAAAACTGTATTAACTCTAATTCTATTTGGTCGCTAGTCAGCCAGCATGAGTGAGAGAAATGATACTAGTTTTTGTTTTATGAGAGGGATTAATCAGTTAATGTGATATTTCGACTCCCATGATTTTTTTTTTTTTTTTTTTTGTAGTCAGTCTTCAGCTTTGAGTTTAATTTTAAATCTAACAGTGTTTCTAAAACAGGTAAAGGAATTTAGTTCTTCCGTTTAATCAAAGTTGTGTATAAGCAGACATTGCTAACATATAATCAGTATTTTTTAATAAAATGTTAAACCACCGTTTATTTTGAGCGACAGTTTGGTTTTAGAGCTTAATATTTTATTAGTAACACTTGTTAAAATTTCCATAAGATTTTAAATCAAGGTTTAAATTTTTTCATTAATTTCAATTATAAAGCATCAGCAGTTTAAAGCATGAGTAACTCCATTTCCTCAGCAGACAAATTAGCTTCATTTCGGTTCTGAGATCTAATAATTTCAAATTCAAGATAGACCAGAATCTAAGCATCTGATAGTACAAAAGTAACTGAACTAGTCTTCATTCATACTGGGTCTCCAAAATAAGTTTTATTTCATAATGGATGTAAACAAATTTTCAAGTTCCGATTAATTGCTAAACGCAGTTTGTACTAATTAATGAATTAGTCATTCGTTTTAAGAGCAGGCTTCGAGAACTTTTTTTGTGCTTTCATTTATTCTTATGGTGTAGCATTCGTGTCCTGATTTATAAATTCTCCCCATTTAATGAATTACGACTATACCTTAATTTAATCTGTAATAACTTGAGAATATATAGAGCATAGTATGTGCTTATTTGGAGAAATAAGCATTTATTTGCGTCTATCTCGTGCAATAATAAAGCATATCTTTAAGTATATTTCAGTCAAATTTTTCTCTCCCACGATGCGATTTCAAATTAATAAACAAATAGGTTGTTTTTAACTCATCTTGATTTGAAGGTAATGTCTTTACAGCTACCGCAAAAATAACCCTTTTGCTAAAACTCTGTAGAATTTAATTTAATGGTTACATAAAGAAACACATTTATTATAACAACATAGTATACATTAAAGCATTTGAAATTCGTTTAGAAACTGTTTAGTAAATTGAATAATATACAGCCAGCTGTTTAAGTTTGTAGACAAAGAAAGATGCAAATGCTAAGAAATTTTCTGGAATGCAATACGAAATCATTCGGAGTGTGCGCTTTGTGCGTATGCTTGCAATAAGTAAAAAACCTAATAGGAGTTTTACTTAAGACTTTGGAATACGAAGCATTTAAGCAAATAAAGCAAACACTACTATTAAACTTTGATCCTGTAACAGTTATATTACGTTTTATAACTCAGTTACAGGAGTCCTTCATAAAAAAATAAAGGTTAAAATTAAATGTATTTTTGCTATAATTTTTTTTTAGAATTTTGAACATGCAAATATTATTTAAATAAAGTAATTAACATCAATAATCTTGATTTTCAATTGTAAATTGCGTTTCTTTCATATCATTAGTCATATCAACATATTTACTATTAAAAACCACAATTATTATTTATATTTCTTTAAATTGTCCATATTTATTGCAGTTAACCCAAGTTTGAAATAGAGCGATGGCAATTATAACACATAGTTATGTTCAATTAATATATAAAATTAACAGGTTTTTACACAAGCATGCATCTAGAGAATTTTTTATCTTCATAAATAGCTAAGATGATGTTTTATGTACTTTTCTTTAGTAGGTTAACTGATAACCTTCAAATGATCAGAGTTTAATTAACAAAAATAGTACTTTACATATAAACAAACCAAGGCGCTTAATAAGCTCTTATTTATCACGAAAGAGTTGAAAATAAGTTTATAAATGTATACTAATTAATGAGTGCAGTTAAATTAAACTCACCGATAAGCGCTATCAAAGCGTCCATTTAATGAAATCAATTATTTTTTGTCTTTTAGTTATTTCTGTTGCAGAAATTTCTTCTTGATTTGAGTTGCCTGTAAAAGTAACTGTACTTTCTTAAATTAGATCATTCACCAAACCACTTAAAAGATGAGATTTAAGCATTAAACTAAGAACAATGTATACTAGAGTAGATTTTTAAACTGCCCCTCTGATCAAGGATATCAGGTGATTCGCCTCCAGACCAACTAAAGGCTCGCCGAACAAAAGAGGCTGCTCGACTTACTAATGCAGCGCACGTTGTTCTTTCGCGATTCCACTTAGAAATGCAAGATTGGGGAGGGGGTGCTGAGCGTGAGAAACAAAACACCATTTTCTTACGTCAATTATTCATGACTCAAAAACCTACCTTTTGTAATCGTTGGGGATAATTGTTCACTTGAGTTGTAAGTTGAAATGGCCATCGTTTTCAATTCCATTCCTTCTCTCATTGCGCATGCAGAATCCATTCTGGATTCGGGGAGGTCTTCCAGTATCTCTGTAGACAGCTTTTGTCTGTAGTACCCACATACTTCGGAACTAGTTGGCACTGCTTGAATTTGATCCAAATTTCTCAATCTGTTACTTAAACGGGTGCTAACAGGTAAAGTAACTGAATTGATATTCCGGGATGTTTTTGTCGGCTCTTTAGGGAATTCTTCCTCATGTGCCCCATCCTTTATGGCATATCTTGCGTAAATTGGATGGACAATCCTACTTCCTTGCTTTATATTTGCATCTGCACGTATCCTGGCAGATGACATGTCGAAGCAATTAATTGCCCCTATTAATCCAGAGATTTCCGTTTACTCTTGTTTACCTGCAGTAGAACTGATATTTGTTAAAAAAAATTTGCTGATGATATAATAAGTAAGATGAAACCATGATGCTCCAAAAGGTTCTTGCTATTACATAACATAATCTTATTAGTTCAAATTTAAATGTTGAATTCAGTCAGAAAAATAATTAACAATGAAACGAAAAGTGAACAGGCATTTCTTAACATCAGCACGTAAAAGATAATATTTCATTGACAATAAATGCATATATTTGTAAGAAAAGTGACATGAACATGGGAATCAGTCACTATATCACTTTGTTTCAACTAATTGGTACATCCTGTATCAACTGAAACACTTATATGGTGCCTAATTCCTTTCACCCACAAAGCATTCTGTGAAAATTTCTAACTTTTCGTGCCTATATAAATTTCTAACACTATTATATCACTGATTTTAGTCACTATAAAGCATAACACATAAATCAAATATATCCTTTCACATGGCGATGAAATTCACAGTTTCCGTGTATCTGCAGTTTTAACTTCTGCCACCACGACACGGAAAAGAAAAAAAATCTGAATGATAAGAAATTAATAAAAATTTTAATTGCTCATGGCAAGCAATAACGAAAGCTTTAAACCACATAATATTTTCCTTCATTTCCTACCAACATCCACCGCTGCAGCTACAACACAATGCAGAGAAGAAATGATCGCACCATGTCAACAGAGAGACTTCGCGATCATTCATCCGTAAGACAACTCGAAGGTATACCGTTTGCTGTCGTTGCGTCCAATAGCGATTCGACTGAACAGTGTGACCTGGTACTTATTCAGTCCACTGGAAGTTATTGCGTGTTATTCACATCAAATAGTTTCACCCGTATCGTTTTAAAACATTTTTTCTGAATTTTCAATCCAACAAAGATGAAAATACTGCCCTAATCGATTTTACTATTTTCTTCTCTTTGAAATTCTTCTATCACGGATGAAAAGGCATTTATCTGCAGAGGAATTTAATATTTTGTAAACTAGTTTCTTAAATTTAACATTCACTTTCATTTTCAAAAGTTTGATTAAGACAGTTGCATGTCTGTTCATTAAACATCTGGATTGCTCAACTGTTTTGATTTGATCCCCATAGGAATTGAAATATTTTTTGTAAAAAAAAAAAAAAAAAATTGCGAGAAGGCCGAAAAGTGAGGAAAAATACAAAATTTCTTTTGTTTCAGAAATTTTAATAATGCAATTTCAAAATTATCATCACGTTTTCTACAGAAATGAATTAATAATCAGCCAATGATAAAAATGATAATCAAGTATGCACTAAATTAAGCTATTACAATGAGTTTAGTTAAATTAATATTTTGGTTTTATAAGCCAACAGTACTGTCTCACAGCAAGACGAATATCCTATATCAGTTTTAAATGAAATGACCATAAGAGCTATGTTTTACAAAGAGCCTGTGTCTAATCTAAGACTATGTTCTTTATAATAAAATTTGTTTATGATCTTAGAAGATGCAGGGTAGTATTCACAATCCTGTTTTTGATGTAATATGTACTGTTCGAAGTTATTTGGTAGTCTGATTTGGACTAAATATCAGGAATCCCTGTAAGTTTATAAGTTTAAAGCATATTCATTTTTCTCATATTCCTCTGTATCTCACACAAAGTCATGCAGCTGCTTATAAATATAGCATGTAAAAAGAATGTGAATGTTAGCAATAAATTTAATGTAAAAATTGGCAATCTTGTAAACTTATAATGTTAAAGAATATTCACTTTTCTCATATTGCTTTTTATGAAAATAGTGTAAGAACATGATTATTATCATTTTAAGTTTAATTGTACATTATTTTCTCCGATTCCAGAGAATTGATTAGTCTAAGATCATTAATTAAATTTTCCGTTTCAAACAGCATCGTGTCATTCGCTATATATCCCTCTTCTATCGATTTCTCAATTTCATTTTTCGTTTGTAATCCTTATTAAAAATGTAAAACAAAGGAATTACTAACAATGTTTTGTGCACCAACATGTTCTCAACCCCAGAAGAAAGAGACTGCATTCTTCGTCATGCAAAGTAAATATTATAAATATTTGTTGTAATAAAGCTACAAAGGGTAATCTATCTAGCAGGTTATTTTACAGCAAAACTTAATACCTTGATTTCAAACTAACAATGCAGTATAAAAAATCAGTTCCCTCCGAAAAATGGGGTACACGATGTTTCTGTTTTCGGTTTTCTGATATGTGAAATTCCTGTTATAAAGTGACATTTTGGAATAAAAGATTTGGTTGATGGGAAAGGGGCGTACTGAAAGCGGTTAGCAAAAATTACCATTTTTTAACTGCTAAGATGCTAATCCATTCAGTGGCAAATAACTTTGTTGCACATCTCTTGCACCAAGTCAAATGAAGTATAGTATTTTTTATTAAACTTTTCGAGTCTCATTCCCTTAGGTAGCATAAAGTACGAAACCTAGAACACTGTGTGAGGGAATCGCAGGAAAAAAAGTCAGAAGAAAGGCGTAGAGAACCCTTTATTCACTCAAGATAAGTTTACAGATGGCTTCACTTGGACGCATACAAAGCTAACACGTTTGCCTTAACTCAAAATATGTAACGACGAAGTGAAATGTGGTAAGCTTAGTCTAACGACTCACAGGATAATTTAACGAGCAAGAAGGCTCTAACTCGTAGAAGTTGGCGTACACAAGCTTAATGGCTAGAAGCTTTCAGCACAACAGAAAGCTAATAGCTGGTAATTCAAGCTGCTTGAATCAACGTGGCCTTCAAGCAGGCATAACACGCTCTAATCACCTTCTTAAACCTTCCCTTAAATACTACTTCTTTCTACATCATTTGAATACGCGTGCGCTAGTTTATTAACTTTCTGGCAAGAAAGCGTGGAGGAAAATGAGAATGAAAGGAAAGTTGCTTTAAAAATAAAAATTAACTATTAGCTAAATTAAATAAATCTCCACAAACTTCTGTAAAAATTTATTTTATTCAAATTAATTTCTAACTGTGCAGATGGCAACGATTTTTATTCTATGTGAGTATTATTTATCACGCACTGGTTATCATTCGTGACAACATCCAGAAATTTCCACATTCTGAGTAAACCTTAATTTTGCAGACGTCTATTCCTAACTGATGTATTCATATACTGAGAATTCTGAGGTTTTTACTTTACTTATGAATATCTTTGCTCCTAGAAACTCAAGTTATTTCTGATGATTTAGAAAAAGTCTGTCTTTCAGACAAATTTTCTTACGATATGCTGCCTTCTGAATTTCCTATCATGTTAACCTGTCTTTTTTATTATGATTTTATACATACTGAACGAATTCTGTGTCTTCATGTACTAATCTAGATTAAGCTGACTTGATTCAACATTTTCCTGTCTACCAGATTTTATTAATTTTCACTAGCAGAATAATTTACACTTTATCTTCCCACTTGCATTGACTTTGATCTCATAAAAGGATTCTTCAGTGATCCGTTATTAATGTGACTATACACTCAGACTAAATCCATCCGTAAAAACTGATCTCTTGCATTCGAATTCCACTAACGCTTATATAACTCTCTTGCATTCGACTTATAGAAGGACATTTTACGTATGTTTGTATATTCTTAAAAACTAGTTTAATAGAATTAAACCTATCTTGTATTAATCTTAAATACATAATCTTAAATACTTAAACACATAAAACGCGAACGGGCTGGCTGCATGGGCGTTTTCGTGTTTTTCCCCAGTGTAACGTGGATACCAACCAGTTTGCCGTTAAATGTCACCGACGTTCCTTCCCTTACGCAAATAGCCCTAGCGTGTGCTTTGCCATAATTAAATACACCAACACCATTAAACACATAAAGTCAAAAATTTTGAACGAAGTCTTTGAGAACATTCTTATATTTAAGTAAATTTGAACGTAAAATAAATTTCTGCATCGCTTTGGCCACTCAAGGTATAGATACCATTAAGCATTTTATTTCGTAGCAAGAAACGTGAGAAACGTGCATTGCCCTCTCGAGTTTCGAACTCTGGATCTCCGGACTCATAGTGAGACCAATTACACTATGAAATTACGCGGTAAGGATGGGGAAATACATATTGGTGATTTCTATAACTTTTGGTAATAGAAAGCCAACTTCTGGTAATTACAAGCATAGTCGTCCTTCGCAACTTTCCGGCTTCGACTTTCGCGGCTTCACTCAATCGTGATTTTTTCAAATACATTCATTAAAATGTTGATCGAGACAGTGAAAATAATGCAGCTCGCGCCAATCACTGTACCTATGGATTGTAGGCCTATGTATTCGAGCACTTCAAGGGTGGTGAAGCCAAGCCAATCAGAGCGGGCTTTTCACTAATTGGTTATCTTACCCTCTTCCCATCCTGGCCACTGACTGTTTCGCACGCAGGTTCGTTTCTCTCACACACTTTTACATCGATACGCATCGAAAGCATCTTTGCGAATTCTGAGAACTTTTATCTAAGCCTCAAGATGCCTCCTAAACGTGCTATTTCTGCTAAGCCTTCTTACAATGAAACTAAGCGTCGTAGGAACATGCTTACCATCCAAAAGAAGGTGAAACTCTTAGATAACTGGTCAAACTCTGGCAAGAAAATTGTAGAGGTTGTTCGCCATTGCGACTTGAATGTTCCCTCCATCCATAAAGATAAAAACAACATCCATACAACGACTACTGTCTCGTTCAACAAGGAAAGAAAGAGTGTTTTGACAAGTACTACGTTTATAATGAAAACGAAGTCTGTCCTAGGTGTTTGGATAAGTGACAACTGCAAGAAAAACACTCCTTTGGATTCGCTGGTCAAACGAGAAAAGCAGGAGCAGCTCTATCAGCTCTTCAGCACTTTGTGGCGAGCAAACCCTAAGCACGGCCCTCTTCTGCAACGTTCATGGATTTAACGGCGAGCAAAGGTTGGTTCGAGAATTTCGAAAAGCGGTATCGTCAGAAGAGTATCGTTCTCCATGAATAAGCATTGCGGTTCCAGAATGCAACGGAACCTTACAAAAGCCTCCTCACGCATATGAAAAGACAGCTCCAATAACAACCTAGGACGATATTCTTTAGCCGTGCACCCAGACACCCACTGTCTACGCTTAGTAGTTCTTCAGCGGAAAAAGACGATGACGCATCCGATGAAGATACTGCACCACCTGAAGTTTGTCGTCCTGAAGTCGTGCTTTCAGAAGAGTACTGACCTTGCTTTTCTTTGCTGTGCAATGTATCTCTTCATCATTATCGTTTCATCATTGAACAAGTTGCACTATTTTGTTAGGTTAGTAGTTTTGTGTGAACTATGTGTATGTAATTCAGAGGATAATAATAAGATGATATTTGTAACGTCTAATATGTCTTAATTTCTCTTATTTTGTCTAATATATCGGCTAATACGATTTGTAATGGATTAAAGGATGTTATTTCCTGTCTAGAGGCTCCAATAATTGTTAAAAAACGTATTTAGGTCGTAGTCAGGTTTTCTATGCTCTAACTGCGAAAATTTTCGACTTATAAATAAAGAATTATACTTTGCGGAAATTCACCTATCGCAGTACAGTCTTGAACTGATTAACCCCGATAAACGAGGTTCAATAGAAATAGTTTTCGGAAGCAATTTTAGGTAACTTGTTGAAATAAATATCTGTCAATGCGTATAAAA